TGTTCTATTCAAGTTCATTCCAGGTACAAAATGGTCAAGTTCTTTTTGCCTTTTTTAAGGTACAAATCTGTGACATTCTACACAAACTTGTGTTTCTACTAAAATTGGTTTTTACTTTCAAACTGCTTGTGTGTAATAATTCAGGGCCAAGTTAAGCAGACTACCCTTTATTTCATTGGCTTATGCTAAGTAATATTACCTTTGCTTTCTGTATATTGAAATTAACTTGGAACAACTACTTATAGATAATCGTAGATGGACTTCGATCATCCTCTTGTGTCTTAGTACTAGATCACTTCAGTTATTTACGATAACACATCTTGTATACATTTAGTCTTTCTTACTTTAGAGTTTTAAAAAATCAGTTGTGTATGCTGCATTGAGTTGCATGAAGTACCATGCTACTGTTTGATAAAATGTCTTTTGAAAGATAGTAATAACTCGTGTGCTTCCTGTTGCTAATTCAGTGTGTGAAGCATTTAAATGCATCACAAAAAGACTTTAAATATTTCTTTAGTATAAAGGATGATCTCTCTTTAATTTTGAAACATTCCTCCATACTCATGAATGATGATGGAAGCATTCCTTTCTGGTGTTGTTCTTGGAGCACTAACAATTCTTTGCCCTGATTACATAATGGGCTTTTCTGGTGTAATACTGAGGGACAGAAGGGATAGTCACCTTCATTGAAGTGTGCTGCCTGCTTTTCAGTGCACAATCAGCATTTTTTATAAGACTTACCTGTAATATGAATCTGTGTATCTGTACACAGCATCAAGAGTTTAGAAGAAGCTAAAGGGTTCTGTTTACTAGAGAATAGCATAAACTGAGAAGGGTATATCCAGTTTAAAAAGTTGGGTGAATCCCCATGGGCATACGTAGTCCTCGTAAGTGTTAACAACAGTAAGCAATGTAATAAATCTAAACTAAAAGCACAGATTTTTAAATAAGAAAAGGATTAGAAGTTTGAACAAGTGGACTTTTCCATTACTGGCAGATACTTAATTGCATTAGACTCTTGCAAGAAGACATGCTATAGCTTACCAGGAGGAAAAATTGTGCAGTAAAAATGTATTGCTGGCCTTGTGCTGAAGATTTGACTAGTTCTGACTGCTTTTCTGCCATTAAAACCTGAAACTGATATAACAGAGACAGTAAGGTTTTTTTAATCTCCTCCAGGCCTTTCTGATTTGAGGCCGTTACAATTCTTTGGATGTGTGTAGAGACAGACAAGGTTAAAAATGCCTGTCTGTATGCATAGTTGTTTGAAAACTAGTGTGACATTTTACTGCCATTGTATATTGGCTCTCATTCAAGTATTAAGAGATACGTTTCATTTTTTTCTCAACATCATTTTATATTTTTTCAGTTACAGATCAAGCAGGGGATCTTTGCTCCTAAAACAGGAATCGAAATAATGTGAATATTCCTGAATGTAGATATCCTTGGTAGTCTGGATCATGCCCTTAATATGTAACAGTAGGTAGTCAACTCTGTTTACAAAGAAGTTATGCCTAGCATATAGATCTGCGACTCTGCACGGAGAGATGTGGTGTCATGTCCAGTTTGGGTCAGGCAGTTTTGTTACGGTATATCCTACTGTACCTCAGAATAGCGCAGGCATGTGCATGCATGTACATAGACTTACTGTTTGGACAGGAATGATTTTTTACATTCCTTAGTAGTCTCCACTTAGGCTTTAATTCCAACAGACTAGTTTTCACAGGCTTTCTCACAACAAAGAGGTGTGTTACATCAAAACAAAGTGGCATTATAAGGATAGCTGTGAGTTTCTGTTCTGCTGTGTTCGTAGGCAGAGGCTGCTCTTAGGTCTTTAAAAGCACTGTTCAGTATTACCTCTCTTTGCAAAACAGTTTGGTGCTGGGCAGGCATTAAAATGCCCACCATACACACCTGATCCTTTCCTCTGACCTTTTAGTTGTAGTTGATTGTGTGGCAATCAAGTCTGCTCTGTAGGCTCACCTCAGGGTTGCCTTCAAACGGAAGGCATATGCTTCAGTATTGGACGTGTTTTATGAGAGCATAAGGTGAAGTGATTTTTCTTAACGTTATGAGAAAGGACAGTTGCAAAGCTGGCAGTAGAACAGCTCTTACTTCTAGTCTGGTGGTTAATTCACCGGAACATAGTCTCATGGCATCAAGCTCAGAGTTCATTGTATAGAAGTCAAAGTGGAAAATGCTTTCCTCAGTCACCCATGGTTGGATTATATAAATGCTTGTTTCCCTGCAGCGCATAATTTCTAAAGCTGGTACAGGGAGAGGAAAATGGGGAGATAGGCAAGATGTTAGTATTCAGCATCAAACTATTAAACTGTGGTGTAAAGATGCACAAGTAGCCTTCACGCATAGGAGGCAACAATGCTGATGTCGGGGTATAGAGGGGAAACCGTTGGGGCAGTGCTGAAGGTGGAGCATATGCACCACATCCCATCATAAGCAAGCAGCCACAGGTCCCCAAATGTGCACTGTAGCTGCATTTGACTTCCTAACCCCACCAATTCCATTCAAAGGCTGTTTATTCAACTTAGGGCATGATTTTGTGGGAAAGAGGGGGAGAAAAAAAGTGTTTGATACAATAATATGTATTTTTAATGCATGTCAGTATATTAGTTTCTCCCTTTAGCTTCCAAAAGTGAGGATATACAAGTTACTTGTACAGTGAATGTTTTTCTTTGTTGCAAGTGACCAATGCAGAAAGTCACTATGGTCAGTATTAGAAATAAATACGCCATTAACAGAAACCAATTTTGTTCCAGCTGTCTAAAATTTCAGGAAAAATCTTCTGTAGTGCTTCAGCTCTCAGAAGATTTAGACATTTGACATTGATACAAGTATGTAATAGCTACTTTTCAAGTGGCAAAATGTAATACTTGCCTATAGAATACTTTCTTCTTCCACCTAATTCTGTTCCCATTTTATGCAAGCTTGTTCAATCCAACACTGTAGCCAGGGAACAGCCACTGGTGTCCAAATGAGCTGTCATCTGTGACTCAAGTAACAAATCCTCACACCTGTTACAAGCTTAAAGTGCTGTAACCTGAGTGAACCCCCAAAGGTTATTCTTTAATACAATGGGGTTCCACGGTTCAGATTTGCTTCTGAAACTTTATCCATTTTACTATGCTCTTACAGTTTTTCTTGAAGTTTTGCAATTAAAATTACCCACTGTACTGGCTGCTTCTTAAAAACTCCTTTTCATGTAAAGCCCTAAAGACTGATTTCAGCTTCAGATTTAAATTGAAAAAAAGTAGAAAAAATCCCCATGAAATAGTTCACTGTGCTATGGGCTTAACGAATAAGAAATATCTTTGCCACTTTTTTTGCATGGTGCTGTTGATGATAGCCAAGACAACTAACAGGTCACAAGGACATGGGAAACACTGAAGATTGAAATTATATTTTTGTGAGTTTAAGTTGGAATTGAATGGCAGCATGTGAGCAAGTAGTGGTTATTTAGCGCTATTTGAAATTGTTATGCAAGTACAGCTTATAATATGACACTGGAGTATAGTTCTATAGAAAGAATGAAAACAAGCCTTATTTTCTTCAGGGTTCTAGTATATCTGTCAGCTCATTGGGCCATTGGTATTTTTTCAACTTGTTTATACTGTGTAGTGGTTGGTGCAGCAGGCAGAGTATCTGACTTTGATCTGTACTGGGAGCAGAGTAGAAGAGGGAAGAAAATAAATGCCACTCTGTATATACATACTGAGAAAGTGTTGAAGTAACTGTCTACAGTAATATAGAGAGAGGTATAAAGATGCCAGGGGACATCTTTACAATTACTGAGGAAAGCACTACACTTTGTGAGGCAGTATGAAACATTAATCCTGAGGCTGCAGTCATCTCCATGCACCAGCTGGATGCACTGCAATTTGTGAGAGATTCGTTGTTGCCTAACCTTGAAAAAGCAGCTTTAACATGCAGCTGGTGCCTTTGTAAGAGTCAGTCCGTACTGACAGGGTTCATCCTTGGGGAGGCTCTACTAACATGCTACAGGATAGTCCTGAATCCACTTAATGTCAGCACAGATACTAAATTCAGCCTTTAGCATAACCTGAATGTAAGAAGGAAGAATGAAGACTATGCTATTTTCTAAATAAACTTTAAATACTTTTAGAACTCAGACATTCATTAGGCTAAAGTGTTCGGAAGTAGGGGATTACGCTCGCACTTTGTCCTGAAATAATTCATATTAACTTTAAAAGAAGACAGTATTAACACAGGGCCTGGGTTGTGCTGTAGGGATATGGGGACTATGCTGCTGGTAATGCTTGCTGTTTGCTGACTAGCACTTCAGCAGCAGCCCCCCTCAAACCTGAAATTCTCTCCATGGAGCTACATGACAAGCCAAAGAATCCATCTTACAGCTGATTGCCTTTGGGAGTGTCAAGAGAAGAAGAGATACCAGCTTCTCTTCTTGTTTTCTGTTTCTGTTTTCTAGCTGCTTTTTCACATGTAATCTCAGAGATCTCTGCAAGACAAGATTGCCTGTCTTGTTTGCAAGAATAATACCTCTACCCAGTTTCCTCTGTGCCCTTTCACCCGCATTGCTGCAGCTTGCGTGGAGTGCTGGTGGGATGTGTCGTATTTAGCCTCCCTCACAAAGCTTATCTTCAGCCAGATTTTGATCGCTCTTAACGCTTTTCCTCACATTTGCGTATCGCGGCAGCATATGGGCCAGTCTGCTAAAGACTGTCAGTTGTACATGTAGATAAACCGATTTAGACAGTTGCACTAGTGTTCGAGGAAAATCTAAGCAGATATGAAGCTTGTTTGGAATACTAGCAAAAATAGGGTGTTCCTTAGGCATAATAGGTTTAGTATTATTGTGAGGATATTAAGAATTCTAACATTAAAATACCTTGTAAAGCATCATCTCAAAAGAAAGAATTCAGGGAATACTAGCTTGAATGTAAATCTACTTTATACAAGTGGAGAAGAGTTTGATTATATTTCTTCTTTTTTCCTAACTGTAGCTTTTGTCAGGAGTGATAAGCCAAAACTCTTCAGGGGACTGCAAATCAAGGTGAGTAGTGACCTGACTTTTTTATTTGGGATGTTAGGAAGAATTAAGTTTGGTGGAAGTAGTCCTTCTGTGGATTGTTCCTTATTTGCTGATTAAGTAATCCTTTTGCAGAAGACCTGTATTTGCATTGCCAGTATAAATCTTTACAAGTTCCTGCTGCTAATATTAATTGGTTTATTGCTCAGTAACTGTTTGGTACCAATCTATTTTTGTTGTCGGGGTTTTGGGGTTTTTGTTGTTGTTTGGTTTTAATCCAAGAACAAATATACTGGAATCCATAAGTAATAGCAGATGGCAAAAGAATGTGAGGAATTGCTTGCATTCTGTCCTTACTCTGGGTATCTTGGATTTACTCAAGCTTATTCTGCCATAGTTTCCTTTTCTCCTGTTCTGTTCTCCCCTTACTTTCTGATGGAGCTGCCATTTCCATACAGTTAGTGATTCTTTGGTTTTTGTCCTCCCTCTCAGAATCTCCTTGCTGTGTTCTATGATTCTGTTTTTCTTTATAGTCTTCAAACACCTAGCTTTATAGATATGTATATACTGAATTGTCTGTCTTATGACTTGCATATATGCAAAGCTGCACAAGCTGCACTTGCTTTGGGCTCAAACAGATGTAGTGTAAGACTTTACCTTTCTCTTAAAATCCTGTGTGAACTTCCAGCGTACTTCACAGATATACATCTTGATTCTCACGTCTTGTGCTCCCATCTCTATTTACCAAATGGTACCATCTGGAATCACTTCATAGCTATGCATGGCTGCAATAAGTGATTTGTCTTCTCAGCAGCAGATTCCATCTAAAACAGATTTCGTCTGTCTCATGCATTCATGTCTCTCTGTCCTCCAGTTTCTTTCAAAAGCTTTCTCTCCTTCTGCATTTCTGGCTGTTTCACTTTTATTTTAAACTGTGTAGCTGTATTGAACATCAAAGCAGTCTAGACTACAACTGGTGCAGAGCACTACCAGAAAAAATGTAGTGCAAATGGATCTGTATTTATTTTACAAGACTTTTGGAAAATGGATTAGAGATGCCACTAGCTTCATTAAGTAAAACCAACTAGGTTAGCTCAGTAGGGTGAAGTAAAATACTCCTGGGGAAATCTTTCCATAAACTTAAATGGTTAGAGCCTTCTAATACTGTTAAAAGTTTTTATTTGCATTACATATTTTGTGACTTAGTGAGTCTTCAGAAGCATTAAAGTATTACGTTACCAGCAAAGCCTAGTAGGCACAGATACAACACAGCAGGAAAGAATGTGATTATATTAGAAATTAATAGTAGAACTTCAAGCTGTTAAAGTGAGTGGAAATTTCTGAAATGGTAAAAAGGCTACTGATCATATGAGAAAAATCATTCAGCTGCTTGATTGAAAAATCCAACTTCAGTAACTTAAAACCGTTGAAGTAGAATACCATTTTCCAAAGCTAGGCAAGGATCTCGTCAGGTCAAGCAGGGACAA